CACACATCTTAAAGTGGCCAAGGTTGAGAAACACTGATTTAAAGAATGTCCCTTGGCATCAAAAAATGACAACCTTGGGCTTTGGAGTCCAGAAAGTGCAGAAGGCTTGTGTGTGTGCATGCATATGTGCGTGTGTGTGCCGCAGCAACAGAGCCGCAGAGGAATTCTTTGCCGCCGGCTGAGGACGGACCTGACCTCTGCGACCGTTTCTCCAGGAACCGCCAGCTCGTCTGCACTCCCTCGGCCCCGAAAGCAGACCCAGGAAGTGGGAAGGGTGGGTTGAAGAGAAAGCCGGGGTTGAAAAAAGAAAACGATGCTTCTCCCGCAGCAGTGGTGTCGTGTTTGGCCGGCGCACAGAACCCTCCGTGCCGCGTGCAACTCTGCTTCGTAGCAACAAGCCCAGATGGGCAACCCACGATCGGTTAGTCACAAGGAATACCAGCAGTGGAGAAACGGGCGCATGGGCTAGGGGAAGGCTGTGGGAAAGGGTGAGCCTCGGATGCAGAAAGTCTTGGGTTCGAGGTTTGATTTAAAAAAATTAAAAGTCAGTGCGCTAGCGTGGATACCTTTCAGCAGCAAAGGAGCCAGCATCTTTTAGGCTTGTGTGTTGTGAGAATCCAACCCGTCTGATGCATTTATGGCTGAATGGTATAGGTATCGGACAAACCTGTAAAATGGGTTAATTCAATGACCGGGTTAAAGGTGTTGTGTGAATCGCAATGACTGGGTTTTGCCTCAGGTAAAACTGAAGTCACCCATGTGCTTAACCCGGTTACTAAATTAACCCATGGGGGAGTTGCACTGTACACTGAATCATAGGCTAACCCAGCAGGCTGGGTTTCTACAACAAGCGACGGTGCCATAAACGGAATCGAGTCTCTTGACAACCCCGTTTAACGTGTCATGTGAATGCAGCAGCTGAAGCATGTTGCGTGAGCCCAGCCCTGTCGTCTTCTGACAATCCCACACTTGGGCTGATTTACTGAGACACCCCAAGCACTGCCCTGTCCTCCCCAAGGAGAAAACCCAGTGAATAGCCAGCTGGCCCATCTGAAAACCGACTCCCCACTCAAGACATCTGTTTTTCCTGGGTGATTGTCGCCAACGGAGGAAGGAGCCTGGGCAAAAGACGTCACCGTTTGACAATGCACCATCGACCCGAAAGAAAAGAGGCCGTGCGTGGAGGGTGCCAGGGTTCACTGAGGTACCTGGTTGGCAGGAGGGCAGACGGGTCCCCAATTCGTTGCTTCTCCAAACGCCTTTGGCGTCGCAGGTGAACGTTCCTGCCAAAAAGCCAAACGTTGAAATCTGGTTATGGGGTGGGCCAACCACCAGATGGCACCAGGGCAATATTTACCAGCTGCTGTTCCCCAGTCCTTTCGGGCACCGGTTGCCATCCCCAGTTTGTAAGCCGAAGTGGGCACAAAGTGTCTCTATCACAAGGCGGTTGCAGTTTAGCAAGAAAGACAACAGCGGGGAGAACAGGCCACCCAACAAAACCAGGTCTGAACCTCAGCAAGTAAAGGGACTCGTGTGTGGCCTGCTTAACCTGGTTACTGAACAGTCCTGTGTTTAGGATGCTACCAGACGCCGAGCCGTAAGGTTCCCAAAGGAACTGGGGGGAGTTTTGTGTGACGGGCTGAATCATGCACCCAAAGAAAAGGGCAAGGTGAAAACACACCAAACGTAGCTTGATGTGCACACGTCTTTAGCTGTCCTGGCTAAGATGCTGGATGAACAGAGCCTTGATCAGCAGAAGAAGCCGGAACCACCGGACCGTTTTGGGTCTGGCTCAGCAACAGTTGCCGTATTCCTATTATTCCTGCTATTTGAAAACTGAGACTCCATGTTTTGAAGCATTATACCTTTGGATACCAGATATTAGGGCATGCAAAGGCCAGCACCTCTCCTAACAGCAGTGTTTCTCAACCTCGACCACTTTAAGATGGGTGGACTTCAACTCCCAGAATTGGCTGGGGAATTCTGGGAGTTGAAGCCAACCCATCTTAAAGTGGCCGAGGTTGAGAAACACTGCCTTACAGGGTTCCAAGATGCTTGTCTGCTAGGACCATCTTGGAACAGACATACCTTCCTGGTCTAGCCCTGCATTTGGCCACCTTGGATCTGTTTGCCTCCTGTTCTGTCACTGCTGCTTCTTCCATTCACTTCACAGTTGCATTCACACAACATACTTAACCTGGGTCCTGACCTAACCCATTCTCCAGGTTTGTATAATAGCTTGAACCACAAGCTAATGAAAAGGGCCGGGCTGGCTCAACACCTAACAGGGCGAACCCTAGCCAAACCTGGCATGTTGTCTGAATGCAAGGACTTGATGAAGGGGGTTGGGTGCAAGAAAGCCCCAAGAGTCCAGAGCCCCGTGAAAAACTCGCTCACCTGTGACGTTGGGGACCATTTGGTAGTATGGCTGTTGGCAGAAATACTGGATCTCCGACTGGTACGTGGTCAGGTTTTGGGGGTTGGAGAAGGCGACAAAGCCGTGCGACAGTTCTTGGGGGGGGTTGCAGTCTGCAACTGGAAAGTCAAAGAGATGGAAGAGGGTTACTTCCAAAAGCAGCTTAGTCATCATTCAGGGTTTTCCCACTCCTGTCCTTTTCTTTGGGACCAAGCTTCGATTGCCCCAGCACAACCGCCATCTTGGCACCGTTGACCGCATCCCGTGGACATCTTCTTGAGAAGATCAGTCCCGCCAGAGTCCAGAGTCACTGGGACTCGCATGGCATATGAAATGTAATACATAAAAATCAATCAATCAATCAATCAATCAATCAATCAATCAATCAATCTAGCGGAAGTGTGGCTGTTCCTTTTTTCCTACCTCTACACAGAAAGAAATTCAATTTTGAAAGGGTTCTTTGAAAGGCCTATTTCCTGTAGTTCCTTGACTAATGCAAAGCAACTGTAGTTTCCTAATGCTGGGTTGGAATTTGCCCTTCTCCACCAAATCAGCCATTCGTCTGCGTGCTGCGCTCTGAAACAAGGAAGGAGTTACTTTTTTCTTCTCGTTGTGCTAACGTTTTGGAAAAAGTATATGAGCCAACCCAGAAAGAGAAGATGGAGAGAAGACCAAAAGAAGAAAGGACAGATGAGTCAACGAGGGCTCTAAAAACATCGAGAACTTTAGCGTTTTCCAATATACCGCTAGTATATTCTGGATTTTTGAACATAATATATTCCTCTAAGCAACGATCAATATCAAAAGCCCTGATCGGCCCAGCCTGAATCACCCCATGAGGTACAATAGATCGAATCAAAACTGAGGATCTGTTTTGCTTTAAAATTGAAGTATGAGCTCTATATATTAAGGAAAAAAACCCCAAATTTTGGACAAGGTACAGATCCATGCACTAAGTTATGCACGGTCCAGATCTGGAGGAGAGAATTTCCACCTATCATCCTTTCAGTATTTGGAAAGGGAATTCATGTCCCACTTAAATTGTCTTTTCTGAAAGCTAGATATATCCGGTTCTTTCCACCCCATCTTTATTTAATTTCTGTTCTCCCTCTTTGCTCTTCTATGAACCTCTTTCAATTTCTCTGAATATTTTTAAAATTGTGGTCTGGGGAGCTTTTCCAAGAGAGGGTCATCTCTTCTTAAAACTCCTGTTAGGGGTGGAAAAGGAACTTGCCCAGATTTTTCTTCTGGGCAATTGAACTGTTCCATGATTCGGATTAAATGAAAGATTTTGGGTTTGCCTGTATTTGGAGAAAATATTACAGCAAGACACTGCATGTTTTGAGCTGTTGCGAATATAAATGAAGATAATTCCTGTGAGTTGTTTTTTAAAATCTGGAACATTAAGGGCAGACTGGAATGCTGCCTTACTAATGTGGAAAATAAAACAAGAATCCTTTTTTTTTAGCGTTTCACCCATTCTTCCCATTGTAGCTCATTGTTCTTTTTAAAAACTCTCTGGCACCTCCTGTTGAAACAGACCACGAGAGTGGAATCCGAACAGACAAATGAAATAAGGAAAATGCAGAACAATAGAGAACATCCATTTTGGACTTTGGGCATTTGAGGGTCAGTTCACACCGGCTTGTTTGCCCAGCAAGGACCAAGCATCCGGGGAGGGTGACCTGCATGTCTGAACGGGCCCATCACAATCAGTGCTAGACATGAAGCTGATTGAACGCAGAGTCTGTTCACACATTCGCTGCAGCTTGCACACAGATTCCCTTTCCCAGATGTGGTACGGAAGGGTGGATATGAAAAGATGGGGCCAGAAGTGTGGGCAGTTGAGGGGTGGGTACTTCGTGGCCATCTTCACACAATCTGCTGAGCCAAATACTGAAGAGATTGTCTGAGGAGCACTGGGTTAGTCTACGTGCGTATCAGGAGAAGTTGCATAAAACCTGAGAATCGGAAAAGGTACTTCCAGGCCCCTTCTGACAATTGCCTGAATGGACCCATGTTGCTGAGCTTGTCCAATGTGCTCATATATCTCTGGATATGCCATGTGGGGTTTGCAGGCCATGCTGTTAGCCACAAAGAAACCCAAACCAATTAAAACAAACCCGGCTTTATCTAGTGCGCTAATGCAACTGCCTGCTCTTTACTCGACCTCGGTTAGCATGTTGTGTGAACACAGCCCATGCCTTCTTAATGCGGTCATGTCTGAAAAGAGCTCTTTACACTGGAACTCACGAAGAGGACAACATAGGCTTACTGAAACAAGAGGATGAAGGAAAAGCCTAGTGATTTAGATCAACGTTTCTCAACCTTGGCTACTTTAAGACTTGTGGACTTCAACTCCCAGAATTCATGGCTGGTGGGGGAATTCTGGGAGTTGAAGTCCACACATCTTCAACTCTCAGAAGTACTCATAAACCATTTGATGCTTTAATGCAGTGTGTCTCAGCCTTGGCAACTTGAAGAAAGGGGGGGTTGCAACCCCCC